TCTCACATATGGTTTATCATGAACATTTTGTTGTGCTGTGCCTTTTTTTTCTTTAAAGCACCCTGTTACCTTTTTTGTGTTAAAAGAATCCCACATTGTGTGGATCTTGGGTAGGAAGCAGGTGGACCCTGGCTTCTACTTAAGAAAGCCTAAATACAGGGGTGGAGGCTTGTGGTATCCTCTTCTCTCATGTGCCCTGAAGTCTGTCCATGGCCACTGCAGTGGGTCCATAAGTATCTGGGATCAGCACCTCTCAATCTTTTTCCTCCAACACCCTGAGCAGGAGACTTCTATTCTCAAGGTTGCTTGTGGTCACAATATGGTTGTTGCAGCTCTAGCTATTGCATCCTCCTCTCCAGGTAGAAGGAAGGAGAGTGTGGGGAAAGGCAAAGGAGCATTTTCCAGCTTACCCTTCAGCTTACCCATTCACTAATTTCTATTTCTGTCTCCATGTTTATCTTTTTTTTTTAACTGAGGAACAAATAGTGGCTATAACAGCAATCATTTATTTCTCACTGATGGATCTGGATCACCTGCAAGATGGCATTCATATCTGTTCTCAAGCCTGTGGTTCCAGGATCCAGAAAGGGAAAGCAACTGCCATGGACAGTCTCTTAGGTGGACGTCAGGAACCCAAGAGGAGCAAGCCAAGACACAGAAGCCTCTTATAGTCTTATCCTCCTTAGCCCCATCAGTAGAAGTCAGAGACAATGTGAGCAAGCCCAGAGCCAGTGGATGGGGAGGTTGCTCTGTGTCCACAGTCCATGGGACAAGAGCAGGCCTGAAGAAGAATGCAAGAGGCAGCATACTCTGCCTCTGTCTCATTAGCCAGAATGTTGGTCCTGCTCTGCTGTGAAGCTGGGAAATATGGTATCTTTCCCTAGCTGAGCACAAGGTCCTGTTAGGAAGGCAGATGGAGAACCTGAGTATTGGGGGCAGCTGGCAGTGCCTGCCATAGGGGACAAATATTCCCTACCTTCGCTCCCTGAAAGCTAGGGGATGGTGATGAGACTGAGACTTAGCCACACCATTTTGCCTTCAGGGACTTTGACTCTTGAGGGATAGTGAGAGATAAGTCATGGTAATGACACATGTGTCCAGTGATGAGGTGATGGTGATGCCCAGGGTGGAGGTGTAGCTGCTTTTATGAGCTTAGTTTTCAGTTATACAGCCACTTTTCTGGGCTTAGTTCTCTAGTCTCTCCATTTCCAGATCTACCAAAAAAAAAAAAAAAAAACCTTTGTAATTGAAGTTAGCTAGATTTGGTTTCTTTTGCTTGCAACCCAACTTTGATGTATAGGCAAGGGAAAAAAAAACATGCTTTCACAGTTTTATCTCAAGATAGTAGAGGAACATAGGCTTTTTGAGCCATACTGCCTTAGGATTAAATCTCAGCTTTTATACCTACTAGTTGTCAAGTCATTTTTCTGTCCTTGAGCCTGTGTTACCTTTGGTTAAACACTACTTTGGTGTGTTGCTGGCCATTCAGTAAGACTATGTAAAGCAGTAATTGTGAAAGTGTTGGGAAAAATGCCATGGTCTGAGCTTTTGGGTTGACTGTACATCATTTAGTGATGGGCTAGTGACTTAGGAATACTAATAGTAGCTAAAATGGCCCTCTGGAAAGGGGGTAAAGAAATGTGGGGAGTGCCACTGGTACCTACTGAGCGAGACTCCCCAGCAGATCCTGGCCTCCATCAAATCACAGTGCTTGACAAACAGGCTGGCTGTTCAGTGAATGAATGAATGAATGCTTGGGTGTAATTCCATGGGATTTGGGTGAGTCTGAGGTGTTTGGATTGGGAAAAATAGTTCAGCTGCAGATCACCAATGAATCATCCTACTAGGCTTAATGCCTCTGACCCAGCAATGGGAACAGCCGTCTTGGGCTATTCAGCAGTCATTTACTGTGAGTGTAATTGGGCAGATTTTTTAATTTCCTTTTTTTAAAATTTTAATGAGATTTTATTTATTTATTTATTTATTTATTTATTTATTTATTTATTTATTTATAACAGAAGGGAAGGGAGGAAGGAGAAGAAAAGCAACTCCAATGTGTGGTTGCATCTCACGCGCCCCCTACTGGGGACCTGGCCCGCAACCCAGGTATGTGCCCTGACTGGGAATCAAACCGGGAACCCTTTGGTTTGCAGGCCAGCACTCAATCTGCTGAGCTACACCAGCCAGCGCTAAATTTCCTTTTTAGTCTAGACTTGAATGCAACAATCCTCATTGCTGACTTACCACTAGTCACCACTAATGAACAAAGAATATGGACAGGAAATTCATAAAAGATACAGGTGGCTAATGAAAACAGGAAAAGAGTTCTGCCTCAGTGATAATCAAAGAGACACAAATGAAAACAAAGAAGATGACATTATCACCTACCAAATTTGTAAAGATTAAAAGGACAAAAAGAAAGAAAAGACCTAGTGCCAGCTAATACTGGGATCTGCTCCTGCTACGCAGCTTGCTCCCCATCTACTGGGCCAACCTGCACGCGCAGCCAGGTGAGGCCTTTCCTTGTCTATGAGCACATTTGGATCCACTGTTGAGCAGAAGACCCACCTACATGGTTCACAACTCAAGAGGTGCAAACTCTAAAGTGATGTTTGGTCTGTGAGTGTCCTGTGTCCCTGCTACCACCCAGGCCCCTCTATAGGGAACGTCTACTTTCAGGGTCCTGTGGATGTTCTTTGATATGTTCTGTGCACATATACACACTTGGAAACCTATTTTTATTTTCCCTGCATCTGCTTGGGTCAGGTATATTTTTGACAATTTTGTCTATGTTACTAAATTCACTAGCATGAAGTTGTGCGTATCTTTTTATAAACCTCTGCAATATCTTATTTATGTCTCCTTTTTCATTCTAGAATTGTTTGCTTATACCTTCTCCCTTTTTCCCTAGTCTTGGTAGAATTTTGTTGGTTTTATTATAAATCTTTCAAACAGCAAACTTATGGGTATTACTGTCTTTTATTACTGAGTGCTTTCTAGTTTATTAAGTTCTGCTTTTATCTGTATTATATCTTATACTTTCTTGAGGTATGTTCTCTGGGGTTATTTTTTTCCCCTCATTCTTGAATTGTAAACTTAGCTCATTCATTTCCAACCTTCTTTTCAAATATAAGCATGTAATGCTGACCCTCAAACCATTTCAGCTGCATTCAGAAAATTTTTGATGTGTAGTCCTACCACTGGAAGGTTTTTTATTGAGGTTGAAGGGTATTTAAAATTTTCTTTATGATGCTTTCTTTGAACCACAAATTATTTAGAAATTTATTTTTTAAATTTCTAAGCACATGGCTTTGTAGTTTTTTCCTAGTTACTGTTTTTAAAAAATCAAATTCTAGCTAAATTGCACTGTGGTCTGAGAACTTGGTATGTGTGACACCAGCCCTTGCAGCTTGTGAAGTTGTGTGACTGCTTGAGTGGAGTGTGCAGCTGCCAAGTGGGGATGTAGAAGCCTGCATAAGCTCATCACCTTGGTCTTGTCCACTGGGTTATGAAAGTATCATCTCTTTTACTGTTATTTTGTCTACTTGATTTACCCACTGCTGGAGAATGATTATCATAGTCTCCTGCCGTGCTGGTGGACACATCAGTTTCTCCATGGGCTTTGTTAATTTTGGCTTTATTATTTATTTTGAGGCCTTTTTAGAAGCTATTTTATTTTCCTGGTAAATTGAAATTTTTCGTGTTATGAAGTGACCCTCTTTATAATTAACAGTGTTTTTACTTTGAATTTTTCTTTGATAGTAATGGCACTGCACCACCTGTGTTTTTGGTCAGTACCGCACCTTTTCATCTTCGTCCCTTTTGTGTCTTTATGGGTTAGATGTAACTTGAAAAGTAGCAAGTAGCTAGATTTTTTAAAAATCCATTCTGTTTTGTCCATTAACATCTATTTAATTACTGATGCATTTAGATTTGTTTTTACAGTATTATTTTGTGCATTCCAGTTTTTCTCCATTTTCTGTTCCTTATTTTTTTCTCCTTTCTTGTTTTCTCTTAGATTGATTTTGTAAATTGTGGTTAAGATACACATAACATAAAGTTCACCATCTTAACCATTTTGAAGTGTACAGTTCAGTGGCATTAAATAAATTCACATTGTTGTACTACCATCATTTGAACTGCATTTTAATTGGTATCACAGTATATGTAGTGCTGTACCCTGCATTTTCATTTTTCATTTAACAATAGAACATTGTTATGGACTAAAGTGTTTGTGTTCCCCCCAAATTCACGTGTTGATGTCCTGCCCCCCAATATGATGTTATTTGGAGACAAGGCCTTTGGGAAGTAGAGTTAGATGAGGTCATGAGGGTGGGACCCTCATGATGGAATTATATCCCTTTAAAAAGAGACTCCACAGGGTTCACTCCCTCTGTGTCGTGTGCCATGAGTACACAGTGAGAAGGCAACTGTCTGCAAGCCAGGAAGAGGGCCCTCACCAAACAGCGAATCTGCTGGCACCTTGATCTTGGACTTCCTGCCTCTAGAACTGTGAGAAATAAGTTTTTAATGTTTAATCTACCCAGTCTGTGCTATTTAGTTATGGCAGCCTAGGCAGACTAAGACATCCATGTTATGAAAAACAGCAAACATCCTTTTAAATATACCTTATATTTCATTGCAAATTTAGCATATCTACCTTCTTGGCCTGTTGGCTCACTACCCGTTGCCTTTGGATGCCCCACATCTTCGTTGTGCCAGGCTTTCCAAAAGAGTAGTTTATATTCATGATCACCTCCTCATTGGCCAGCCCCTAGGATTGCTTCTCTATTCTCCGTCCACATGCAGTGGTTCTGGATGAGCTGCTCTCTGCCTGCCTTATCAGGATCCACTCATGGAATCTACACCAGCTAAAGAGGCAAACTCATCCTTACCCATACCCTATAGGTGAGAACTTACCAGACTCAAGCATCTATCTTAGTGGCCTTTCCATGACATGTAAAAATGTTGGTTTCCCTCTTGTAGCTCTTCACTGGCAAAAAAGGGGAGTTAAATCAGGTCATGCTCTTTGGCCCTCATCTCTTTGTCCCCTCCTCTGCACTGAGCTCTGTGTCTTGCATTGAGTCTCCTATGGACTTCTCTCCAAGCAGTCCCAAATGACAGTGAAGTTACCTATTGCTGCATGTGCCCCCTGCTCTGCTGAAGCCACTGAGAGCAGTGACTGCCTCTGCTCGCCCACCACAACTTCCCCATGTCACCTCTGGTATGGCACTTGTTACACTCCTTGTTCAGTGAATAACACTTGTAGGTATGCCGGAACTGTAGGAGGAAGGGAATTAGCAGCAAGAAGTAAGTCCACCTAGACCTAGAGGTGACACATTAAATACTAACCAAAAACTGAGCTGAGCTGGTCCAAGTGTCCCACCAAATAACAGTTTCGTGTATGTCTACACAGTGGTTTCCTGAGCATGACTCAGTTTGATGGTTGATCCTGGGAGTACAGAGAAGTAAAGGTTGAAGCTTATCTGCGGAAAATGATCTTAAGTTGAATGAGGTATTATTAATGAATGAATGTCTCTGTTAGCTCCAGGAACCTCTGATCTTCCAGAAGGTGGTCTCGTGGACCCTATAGATGTTGTCAGAAAGCTAAAGTTAGTTCGACAAGTCCTTCTCCACCCAGGCACGGTCCCATCCCCCCTCTACCTGGGTAGCTACTCTGTCAGGAGCCTCTCGTTGCCACTGGACAGTCCATGGATGAATCTTTGGGTTTCAGCTGACATCCCATTAGGTGGCGACAGAGAGCACTAAAATGAAGTATGAAGGAAATAAAACTTGTTTAGCTTCATGTTAGAAAAAGGCTCATGGGGTGTATGTATAGTTTAGTCCGATTTTAACCATGCAAGGCATTTCAAGGTTTTTGCCCTTTTTTCTCCCTCCCATTCTCCTCACCTTATTGCTTCCCCTACCGCACCCCTGCCTCCTTCCATATAAGATGGTTAGATCCGAAAACTAAACAGCCAAATCCCGTGTCCTCTGGTCTCTTATCACACCTGATAGCACCAGTCATCAAGCTGGGAACTCGACAGTCTCCTCCCCTGCCCTTCACTGCCCACATCCCAGGAGCCAGCTAGCCCTGCCAGGTTCCTTTAGTTCTCCAACTTCCCTCTTCATCCCTTTTTCTATTGATGTGGTTCAAACCCTCATCTCTCTGGGACTCTTACAATAACTTGCTAATGCTCCTGTACATTTATATCTTCCATGCAGTTCCTAGAGTCAGATATCACTCCCCTGCTTTAAACCCGAAAGTGGCACCCCTGCCTTCAAATGATGTTGAGGCCCCTAATGTGACCCCTGGATCTTTCTGGCCTCCTGCTCCTGCACCATTTCTCACAGGTGTATTCCTCAGCCATACAGAACTGCTTTCTATCCATTGCTGCATTTCCTCCTATTTATTTTTGTTCTTTTTAATTGTTTTCTTTTATATATGTACTTTATTGATCATGTTATTGCAGTTGTCCCATTTTTATCTCCCCTTTATTCCCCTCTGCCCTGCACTCCCCTCCCACCAGCATCCCCCCCCCTTAGTTCATGTCCGTGGGTCATACATATAAGTTCTTTGGCTTCTCCATTTCTTATACTATTCTTAACCTCCCCCTGTCTATTTTGTGCCTCCTATTTATGCTTCTTTTCCCCCATTCTCCTACCTCCACCTCCCTCCTGATAACCCTCCATGTGATCTCCATTTCTGTGATTCTGTTCCTGTTCTAGTTGTTCGCTTAGTTTATTTTTGTTTTTGTTTCTTTTTTTAGGTTCAGTTGTTGATAGTTGTGAGTTTGTTGTCATTTTACTGTTCACAGTTTTTGATCATCTTTTTTTTCCTAGGTAAGTCCCTTTAACATTTCATATAATAAGGATTTGGTGATGATGAACTTCTTTAACTTTACCTTATCAGGGAAGCACTTTATCTGCCCTTATATTCTAAGTGATAACCTTGCTGCATAGAGTAATCTTGGATGTAGGTCCTTGCCTTTCATGACTTTGAATACTTCTTTCCAACCCCTTGCCTGTAAGGTTTCTTTTGAGAAGTCAACTGATAGTCTCATGGGAACTCCTTTGTACGTAACTGTCTCCTTTTCTCTTGCTGCTTTTAAGATTCTCTCCTTGTCTTTAATCTTGGGTAATGTAATTATGATGTGCCTGGGTATGTGCTTCCTTGGGTCCAACTTCTTTGGGGCTCTGAGCTTCCTGAATTTCCTGAAAGTCTATTTCCTTTGCCAGATTGGGGGAGTTCTCCTTATTTGTTCAAAGAAGTTTTCAATTTCTTGCTCTTCCTCTTCTCCTTTTGGCACCCCTATCATTCGGATATTGGAATGTTTAAAGTTGTCCCAGAGGTTCCTAAGCCTCTCCTCATTTTTTTGAATTCTTGTTTCTTCATTCTGTTTTGGTTTGAATGTTTATCTCTTCCTTCTGCTCCAGATCATTGATTTGAATCCTGGTTTCCTTCCCTTTACTGTTGGTTCCCTGTATATTTTTCTTTATTCCACTTTGTATAGCCTTCACTTTTTCCTCTATTTTGTGACCATACTCAACCATTTCTGTGAGCATCCTGATTACCAGTGTTTTGAATGATAGGTTGGTTATCTCTTCATCGCTTAGTTCTGTTTTTGAAGCTTTGATCTGTTCTTCCATGTGGGCCATATTTCTTTGCCTCAGCATGCCTGTTATGTTGGAAGGGGAAGAGCCTTAGGTATTCACCAGGGTGGGACAACCCACGTTGCTGTGTTGTGGCGCTATATGTTGAGGAGGGGCCAGAGTGGGAACTGTGCTGCTTGCTCAGCTCTTGCCAGCTTTCAGTCACTTCCCCTGCTACCCACAAGCAAATTGGGCCCTTCTGGTGTGGATTCCCTGGTGGGTGGCTTTGTGTACATCCTGGAACGCTGTGGGTCCCTCCAACGAACTCTCCTGTGAGGCTGGGAGTTTCTCCTGCCACCACAACCCCCACAGGTTTTTATAGCCAGTGGTTTTGAGGCTTTGTTTTCCAGCCCTGGAACCCTGGGTTGTGTGGTCTGTCACTCCTCAGTTGCTCCTCCCGGTTTATCTGCGCACAAATGCGGGACCATCCTGTCTGTCAGCTGCTGCCTCACCCACCCAGTCCTCCGCCCACCTCCTTGCCACTCGTCTTCTCTGCCCCAGTTGCCCGTCTTCACCCCTCCTACAAGCCTGGATGAATGTTTCTTCTTTAACTCCTTGGTTGTGGGACTTCCATACAGTTCAATTTTCTGGCAGTTCTGGTTACTTTTGTTTTTAAATTTGTCGTTGTCCTTTTTTTGGTTGTGTAAGGAGGCAAAGTGTATCTACCTACACCTCCATCTTGACCGGAAGTCTCTAAATCATATTTTCTTGATTATGCTATTACAATTGTCTCAATTTTCCCCCTTTGATCCCTTCCACCCAGCACCCCTCATTCCATTAGGCAATCCCCATACCATTGTCATGCCCGTGGGTCATGTGTATAAGTTCTTTGGCTACTCCATTTCCTATACTGTACTTTACAACCCTGTGGCTGTTCTGTAACCATCTATTTATGCTTAGTCCCCTCACCTCTTCACCCATTCCCCCACACTCCCCTTTCATCTGGAAACCATCAAAATACTCTACGTATCCATAATTCTCTCTCACTTCTTCTCATTTGCTTAGTTGGTTTTTTAGATTCAATTGTTGATAGATTTGTTTCTATTGCCATTTTATTGTTCATAGTTTTGGTCTTCCTCTTTCTCTTAAATAAGTCCCTTTAACATTCCATGTAATAATGGCTTGGTGATGATGAACTCCTTTAGTTTTTTTCTTGTCTGGGAAGCTCCTTATCGGCCTTTCAATTCTAGATGATAGCTTTGCTGGGTAGAACAATCTTTGTTGTAGGTACCTGCTTTATATGACTTTGAATATTTCTTGACAGTCCCTTCTGGCCTGCAAAGTTTCTTTTGAGAAATCAGCTGACAGTCTTATGGGAATTTCCCTGTAGGTAACTAACTTTTCTCTTGATGCTTTTAAGATTCTCTCTTCATCTTTAACCTTTGGCATTTTAATGATGATGTGTCCTGGAGTGGGCCTCTTTGCATCCATCTCTTTTGGGACTCTCTGTGCTTGCTGGAGTTGCATGTCTATTTCCTTTACCAAATTAAGAGAGTTTTCTTTCATTTTTTCAAATATATTTCCAATTTCTTGCTCTTCCTCATATACTTATTGAGGAAGTATATGAGGCACCGCTATGCTGCAAATGTTGGACCACTTGAAGTTGTTCCACAGGCTGCTTTATGCTATCCTCGTTTTTCTGGATTCTTTTTCTTCCTGTTGTTCTGATTGCTTGTTTTTTGCTTCCTTATGTTCCAAATCATGGATTTGATTCTCGGCTCATTCACTCTACTGTTGTTTACCTATAAATTGTTCTTTACTTCAATTAGTGAAACCTTTGTTTCTCACTGGATCTTTTTTATGCTGTTAAGGTCCTCACTAAGTTCCTTGCACATCCTTGTAAACAGTGTTTGGAACTCTTCATATGATAGATTGCTTATCTCCATTTTGTTTAGTTCTTTTTCTGGAGTTTTGAAATGTTCTATCATTTGGGCCATGTTTCTTCGTCTCCTCATTTTGGCAGCCTCGCTGTGTTTTATATATTAGGTAGAGCTGCTATGACTCCCTGTCTTGGTATTATGGCCTAATAGAGTAGGTGTCCTGTAGGGTCCAGTTGCACAGCCTCGCCTCTCACCCAAGCTGGGTACTCAAGGTGCGCCCTTTGTGTGGACTGAGTACACCCTTCTCTTGTAGTTGAGCCTTGGTTGCTGTTGGCAGGTCAATGGGAGGGCTTTACCCAGGCCAGTCAGCTGCAAGGACTGGTTGTGATCACTGACCACCAACCTCTGCCCTCTGTGGAGGATCAACTGTGCAAGGGCAGGGTGGGGGTGCTCCTTCGTGGTCTGTAGCTGTCCACTAGGTCTGCAGGCTCTGGGGTTTCCAGAGTGGTGCAGGCCAAGGTTAGCCCCCACCTGTGTTTTGCCCAGGGACTCTGTGCCTGGGCTGTAGAGCAACCTGAGATGGCTGCTACTTGTGCTGGGCTTGGGGATTCCCAGGCAAAGCCAAGCTATGAATCTAGGCTGGCTGCTGCTAGCGATGGGCCTGGGGCCACTTAGCAAGAAGTATGGGGACTAGAGGCTCACTAAGGCAGGCTGTTGTTTGAGAGGATTTAGGAAGTTGTGAAGCATGAGC